ATAGCTACTACAGTATATCTTGTTATCTTCACAGTAGTTGTCCATTCCATCAGGTACAGCAAAATCAAACCAAAAACAAAACAGATAAAACCAATCAAAACAGAATATTGAATAAAGCAGAACAATCAGAACAAAGCAAGACAATTATAAACACATTGCATTTCAAATACAAGATAGAAGGAATGCCACATATTTGCTATGTTGCATGTTGTCATCCTCAGACAAGAGATGCTCAGACCACTGGCCCCAGGCCTGCAACACAATACAACCAAACAATACAAGCAGTTAGCTGCTTTACGTACCCTTAGTTACTATCAACTCAGCCTGTCCTCAGAACCAGTAGGTTGCTTGAGTTGAAGGGTGCTCATTTTCGTCTTTTGTGCTGGTATGTTCACAGGAGGTGCTGATTTTTCTCTTCCTGGAAGCCACACAGCTAGCATTGCTTAACAAAAAGGCTGTTTGGCTTCTTGTTGGATCCTCCCAATCCTAGCATGGCCAATTCGTGGGAAGAACTGACTTTTCTCTCCCTGGAGCCAGTGCAGCTTGTGTGATTTACCAGAAAGACTGGTTGGTTGCCTCTTGTTGTTATATGGTACAATCAATACTAGAAATAACTGAGGTTTTTAATTTCATGCATATTTGAACATGGAATTTTAATGTCTTATTGTCATATACAAATGTGCAGGACAAAAATTATTTTTTGTGCTTTTCATAATTAAGTCTCTATTTTGCAATCACCAAATATAAAATACATAGTTTTGAAAAAATAAATTATATATGATTACGGTAAACTGGACAATTATGAACTAAAAAGGGTCCTAGAAAAACAAGTCTTTTCCTCTCTTTCCAATCTTCACTCTACTTTTTAAAAATAGTTGTATTTATTTATTTATTTTTGTGCTGGGGATCAAACTCACAACCTTGCATTCGCCAGGCAGGTGCTTATACCACTGAGCTAAATCTGCAGCCCATTTCACTGGACTCTTTTCTGTATCCCACCCAATATTAGCAATTTACAGTCATTTCTAATGACTTCTTATTGTCTCTCTATAAATTCAAATGACTTTAGCACATCTATTTATTAACTAATGTAGTTAAGAGTTTTTTACTAACTTTCTGGATGACTATATTCTCTAAAAAATACTCTGTCTCTCTATATATTATTAAAATAATGTTCATGTTTGTAGCAAAACATTCATAGTAGCCTAGTCTTCGAAGCAGCTTATATGTTCATCAATAGATGAGTGGATGAAGAAAAAGTGGTGTTTACAAAGGATGCAATATTGCTCCACTCATCTGTAGGAAGATGGATGTACCCTGAGACCCTAAGGTTAAGTAAAATAAATTAGACACACAAGCTTAAATATCACTTGGCTTCTTTTATTTGACAAACTGAAATATGAATAAGGAGCAAGGTAAATGATAGATAAAACAAGTTCGATACAACTTCGTAAAGGGAAAGAGACCAAAACATGGAGAAAAGCAAGAGGCAGAAAAGGGGAAGGGGATTTAAACATAATTAAGATGCATTTTATACAGGAATCAACCTCATGTGAGGAATTTAATCGTTATGCATGTGTACCACACCTACTTACATTTTAATGTGATTTATGTTTATTGCAGATTAAAATAAATTTGAATATATTTATTTTAAAATTAAGCTTTCATAGGTGGAAAACAATAAATTAATTTGAATTTTTTTCAGATTTCTGTTTAAACATAAATCAATTTCTTTATAAGCTACCCAGTGTCTTATTTTTAAAATTCAACAAAAGCAGCAATTCATACTGAATCACTAATGTATATCTCAGAGTTAATTAATTCAGCTCTTTGTGGATGTCCCAGAAATGAATTTACTATACCAGGAGGGAGTATTCAAAGAAAAGGATTCAACACCCTTCCCAAGGCCCAGTCCTCAGATGCTTACCAATGAATAAATTAAATTTTACTCTACAAGTGTTTTATCTTTGAAGAAAATGATTGGTGTAGATAATTTGCATTTTGCATTGGGAAGTCTGAATGAATTAGGAGACTGGAATAAAAAACTGTACATTAAGTTTCCACCAAAATATTTTTCTGACCTATATTATAAAACACAACAGAAATCAAATTAATTATTCAAAAATAACACTTTGAGCATCATTCTATTTCATTAAATTAACTCAAGCACTATGATACAATATATCCTGACATTTATAGAATTCCTGAAGTTCTGGTTTTGTTAGGATGAAGTAATAAAGGAAAATTAAAAGCTAACCTTTCTATTTTTAATTAGAAAATATCACAGAAAGATAATTACATTATTATTAAACTTTAAACAGTTTCATACTAAAATTTTCCATGTCTTCCTATTTGTTTTGCTTGCCATAATTTTCAAATATATTTGTAAAAATTTTAAATTGTGTGTAACAACCACTTAAAAAGTCTGTCTTCCATCCAATAAGTTTGATCTAATTTTTTACTCTTCCTCACAAAAGCAAAAAAAAAAAAATTAAAAATGTCTAAGAGTATTATGCTAAATCTTTTTTAGCAAACATATTTCACTTTTTAAGCTTACTGCAATATGCAGGCATTATGGAACAGATGAATACATTCCCATTCAAGACTCCCTAAGGGAAATGCATATATAAATTCACAATTAGGCAAGGTAGCATGAAACAAATGCATAAATAATATATGGAGATGTAGAATACATTAAGAGAGCAATTAACTACAGGAAAATGTAAAAAGATAACGTCTTACAAAAAGATTGTATAAGTACATTACAATTAAAACATAAGACAAACTGTAACTAAATATGCCCATATGCATACATATATTTCAACATTATGTCTAACTTTTGTCTTACACATAGCATGCAAAATAAACAGTTCTGTGTTAAAAGTACATATAAGAGTTTGACAATTTGTATTTAATATCAGATTCATATCTATCAAATCTGTTCTAAAACTTAATTAAAATAAAATATAAAGTATGTCTGCAAGTGTTAGGCATACTGGCATAAGTAATAAAAATAGTCATATAGGTAAAAAATGATTATGAGGAAAATACCAGGTTCCACAAAAAGAAAATATGTTCTACATTGTGTTAGGAGAAATGGGGTAGGAGAAACTGGTGGAAGGATTCATCCTTCTAGACGCTTTATGAGCACTGCCTGTCACCAAGTCTGGCCTCTTTGCACTTACGCGGGGTGGTGTCTTCACTTTGAATTATGAAAACCCCGTTCAGCTTGTTGTGGAGGTAAGGAAGCACTGGTCCTTACTGACCAGGGTATGGTTTCACACTCTCTTAATAGCTATGAGCTTTGGTTTTCAGGAATATGAGAAGAAAAACTGTAGAAAGGAAACAAGCTCAAGGGACCACTGAAGTCACAAAGTGAAGTCAGAACACTGGCCCACGAGCACACAGCCCACACTGACACAGCTCTTACCGTGTGCTGCAGGTGGATATACATGAGGAGACCGTGTAAATAGCTCAACGCAGCCTGCTCACACAGCCACAGCACAGGAGCAGCAGTGTTAAGTTAAAGTACTGCCACTGTAGAAAAAAGTGTCTAATCTTTTATTACAAAGCAACTCCAAATGGAACAAAAGTGACATTACAGTCACAACATGGAATTAAGAAGGAAGGAAGAGGTTGGAAAGAACAAGATGCTGCCTGTTGTACATATTTTCAAATCCTCATGAGGACAAGGAGTAAATATGCTATGTAAAAGCAAGGAATTTCAATTGTTTGTAAGTCAGTAATAGCAAACAAGAGTTGTGGGGAGATGCTATCACAGTAATGGCTAATAATCAGTTACAAAGACTGACATATACCTCAATGACTGTTTATTTCTCTTTGTACTACACTACATTCAATACTGACACAATTATTACAAAAATTTATAAAGGTAACTTTCAAAACATTATAGAAACAAGAAATATAGAATTTCTTACTCATCACAGTATCAGTTGTCAAAAAAAAATGGTATAAAGGAACATCAAGTAGCAAAGATTATTAGGTAGTTCCCAAAGGACAATACTTTCTCTTCATAATATAGAATTATTTCTGTGATGTGTCTGTCAGTTTGAATGCAACATTTCCTGAGCACTTCCATGGTGCTAACTCGTTAGGCTGTCTATTCACTCTGTTGATTGTTTATTTTTCTTTATTGTGCAAACATTTCAACTTGATATAGTCCCATTTATTGATTCTTAATATTCCCTGTGCTGTGGATTTCTTTTCAGGAAATCTTTCCCTGTACCTGTGGCTTCAAGTAATTTCTCTGCTTTCCTCCAGAATTTACAAGGTTTTCAATCCTACACTGAGGACTTAAACCCATTCCATTTGATTTTATTACATGGAGAGATGAGGAATTATTTTCAGTCTTTAGCATGTGGTCGCCAAAGCTTGCCTACATCATCTGTGGAAGCTTTTTGTGTAGTGCATGGTTTTGGTCCTTTTGTCAAGCACATGTCAAACAGATGTATTTTTTTCTGTGGCCTCTGTTCTATCGCATAGGACTGCCGATCTAATTCTGTGTCGGTGTGGGGTTTTTCCCTTTGATGTTACAGTATAACTTGAATATAGTATAACTTCAGTAATGTGATGCCTCAAGACTTGCTCTTTTGCTTTTGCTTAGAGTGGCTGTGGCTCTTCAGTGTATTTTGTGCATCTCTACAAATTTTATGATTGCTTTTGCTAGTTTTATAGAACATTGCTGGTGCTTTATTAGGCATATCACTGAATTCGTAGATCACTTTTGGTAATATGGCCATTTTCAAAATGTTTCTACTAATCCATAAACGAAGTCTTTCTGTTTTCTAATATCTTTTTAATGGTTTCATCATTGTGTATTTTTTGCTATAGACATCTTTCACCATTTTGGTTGATTTATACATATATATATATATATGTATAAATCAACCAATATATATATATATATATATATATATATATATATATATATATTAAGCTATTGTGATTAGAACTATTTTCCTAGTCCTTTTTGCCTTGGTTTCATAAGGAAAGCTATTGACTATTTTGGGGTGGTTTTTTATCCTATCACTTATTTAACTTTGCTTATCATAGCTAAGAGTAAACTGGTAGAATTTTTAGTATCTTCTATATGAGGTATTATAGTATAGTCGTGGCTCAGTTCACAATCTGAATTCCTCCCATGATTCTGGAGATGATGCTGCCTTCCTGACCACATTCATGTTTGTCACCTGACATGCAATTTGTGAATGGAAGCAAAATGCTGCAGAATGCTTCCGTTCATGAACCGAATTTTTCTCAAACAGAAGCTGAGAATATGAACTGAAATATTACTGTATGAATTCACATATCTATAGTCTGCAACTTTTTCCTGATTAGATCGTCTAGCTTTGGTTTGTTTTTCTTTATATCATTTTAGATATTTTGAGTTACATAAAGACAGCAGGACTCATGACATGCTGGACTCAGTTTATTCTTAATCAAAAATCAGTTTGAAGAAATATTGTTAGTTCAGATTCTCTTCTTTGTGAGCAAATATGGAAACAGTTGACGTTCTTTTCTTTAAAGGAAAAACAGGAACCACATAACCCTCACATAGGTGTACACACAGCAATGTAAGTTATTGCACATTAAATGACACTCTAGGAAATTTTCATCTAGGATGTTTGTACTCACTACATTAACCTCTGAAATCAAATAGACTTTGATTTATAAGCCACAATTGCATTACCTAATAAAGCTAATAAAATCAATATAATTGATGACATCTGGGTTAATTTGAATGTGAAATGATTGGTCTTTAACGATTTGGAGTGAATTAAAACATTTATTTGAAAAAGTGATTAAATCTACAAAATAATAACCTAAAACGAAGTTCAAAAATGCATATGCATACTGACATCCAATTATGTTTTATTAAAAAAAGTTACCTTAGAACATGAGAAGAGACATAAAAGCATTAGCTTGACATAAAATTCATATTTTTTTGTCAAATACCGTTATTTAAAGAATGGATTTTTCTGTGACTATATGTGTCTAGTGTCATGATTTTATATAATCTGTATGCTAGAGATATAAATATTCCATTGTTATAATATATGTGCCTATTTCAAATTTAAATCTGACTACTTATATATTCTATAGCAAATTGATTTCCAAAACAATATATAATGTCTGACTCAACTAAGATGTCATGACTCTAAGTAAAAGTTTTTAACTCTGATTTTTTCTTACACATTTTCAGTAATTTTCAGCATGGAAGTCTTCCGTTCATTCATTGGTTTATTCCTCATCTTTTGCCACAAAGTTGCTGACTTATGCCTATAAGCAGGCCTCACTTCCCCCTGGCTTCTGTTTGCTGTAGTCTCTGAAACTGGGAATAGGTTGACTTCAAAGTATTTATTTCCAACTCATTCTCTCCGTGAAGCTTTTTCTTTCCCAGGTGATATACTCAATCTATGACCTGAGCTTCTGTTATTATCCACGTAAATTCTTCTTGGTTTCTTGCTTCTTGCCTCTGATACCTCGTTTGTTAGCTCCAGGATATAGGTTTGATAAAAACTTTTTCTTTCAATGATTGCTTTACATGTAAAATCCTTTTGAAACAAAATGTCTGATCTGTATAATAATGTAAAAGACTTAAAAGTGAAAGTAATTAATCATTAATGTTCCTTTGGTTTGAGAAGCCACTTAGATGTGACAGAATATAAATTCCATCTTCCATGTTTTTCTTAAATTTCAGTTAATGCTGACCTTTAAAATATTTTCGGTCTTCCCTTTTTCTCCCGTGACATATAAAATACTCCTTCCTGGTTTGCAGTTTGCAACAGAGGAAAATTGAGTTTTCGCATAGTGAATAAAGCTGGGAAAAGAAGAAAAGATAAAAGGACTATCAGAGAAGATATAAATCTTTGTTTAAAGTTTGAGCTAAATATCTGTAGTGTACCTCTCTTTGTATCAGTGATAGTCAGCAATAGCTAGGTAAAAAGAAGACAGGCAAAGATCAATGACTATCTTTATAGATGTCAAATTAAACACATTTTGATTCATAACCAGATTAATAAAAATACACTATTTATCTCAAGTGATACATATGGTTTTCTTTTTTTACATGTGGTTTTCAATGACATTAAAATATATTTAAATTAGACATTTTAAGTAAATGGATGCAACTTAAGACCATCCTAATAGGTGAAATAAATCATATGTATAAACTCATCTGTATTAACTCATTGTACTCTTCCTAGTGTGAGCTGTTGAAAGATTAAATAAAATGCAAAATGTACAATAGATATTGTGAAATGAGAAGTAATTGTTAAAAGGAAAAAAGGAGCAGGAGGGGAATGAAAGCAAGACAAAAGGAAGAAAAATGCAAGATAATTATACTATTAGGGTGTCTTAGTTCACTGAAAGGGAAAGTTCATGATAGTATCAATTGGAGAATTGTTTATGCCCCTATCTTTTACTCTGGGTAACTACTTTGAGGCTGATCATATGCAATCTATTAACTATTGTCAGTTTCCTATTATTTTGTTAGGAAATTCTGTTTTATCTTTGTTCAATAAAATAAAATTTTAAAAATATATATATATAAAGAGAAATAGATTATGTGAAAAGGTAAGGAGAAAAAACCCAATTTTAAAAATTAATGTAATTATCACAACCATCTGCACATATCCATACATTTTTAAATTTCTGCAAGAGAATTTAAAAGTGTGACAAATGTATTAAAATGCTAATGAAAGAAACAGGCAAATATAAGAAGAGTATAGTAAGCAGAGACAGAAACACTTAGAAAAATCAAATAATTTTTTTTTAAAAATCAAAATTACTGTAACAGAAAAGACAAAGGTATGAAGTGTGAATAGAATTTGAAACAAGCCAAGGCAACTTAGGGAAAATTTCCTATCAAAACCACAAGTGAGAATTAGTAGTGTGCATTGATTTGCCAGGTAATATCCTGATTATCTGGAATTACTAACAATTCCTTGTAAAATATTGTGAATGATAGAGGTGGAGAATTATAAGATGAGATTTTCAAAAAAAATCTGAATAAGGACTTTGCTTGAGGGAGGTAGAGGAACAGTTTGGGTGTTATCCAAACTTATTTCTTTTAATCTGTGGTCTTAATTTATACTCTATATTTCATCATGAATTATATTTGCTTTATTCCTCTAACGAAAATTGTTTTTCTTTCCCTTCTTCAAAACTGTCAGAAGCTTAGCTCAACCATGACCTCAGTAAAATAGTCTTAACTAAATGAAATTACTAGTTATCCAAGCTCTGCTATTTAAAGATACAAGATTTAATATTTGTTGATTTTGTCTAACAAGATATACGCCAGATCTTGGTGACCTTCTGGGAAATTAATAGTCTCCAATGATTTCTGAAAACCACAAAAGTAGCATGGTGAGATATATTTGATGTTCACATTTAGTTTCAATTATAAATATAAATTCAACTCAGTATTCAAGTGTATTAAATCTATTCATGCATATAAGGTTTTATCATTTAATTAAGGGTTGGAAATAGCACATGCTATATAGTTGGTGTGATGGATAAACAGTCAGCCTGTAATACCCAGGTGAACTGAATTATCATGGCCCTGGAAGGTCTGGAAGTTGTTGCTAAAAGTGTAAAAGCAGAATTGGAGAAGGTGGGGTGCCATTGGTTCTCCTGGAAAATTTATCATGCTGGATTTCCTGATATGAACTCAGTGATTCTCATCATTGGAGGAACTCAGGTCCTTTCAATCATTGAGGGCTATGTTCTCTTTAAAGGAACTCTAGTCTTCATTTTTGAGTGTTGCTTCCTGGCTCCAGTGCAGATCCCTCAACCTGTGGACACAGCTCCTTCATCCTGGTTGCCCAGACTTTGTACCTTCCACCACTGACCTTTGGGCCTTCCTACTGCAGATCCTTGACAGCCATTTGCATGAGACATTGTTACGTGTGCATGTCCTCCAGCTTGGTTTGTGAATGATATTGCCATGAGCTCTAGGTCTTCAGCTGGATTCATGCTGGGTGTTGCCATGGGATCAAAGCCCTCAGCTGGATCATTTGGGTCTCTAATGTGTGCACACGTCTCCCTCACTCTTTTGCATTTGATTCTTTGGGTGAATACTATAAAATACTCTTATAAATTATGTGTCCTGCATTAATTTTTTTCCCTTGTAAACCTGACCACAACAGTTGGGTTGAAAGCCAGTTTTGTAAGGAAACTGCTAAGCTTATGAAGTTTATTGTGTAACTTATTTTGTGTTTGACACACACAAATATACAAGTGACCTGAATGTCTATATTTGGTAAAGTTATACATAAGAAAGTATATAATAAACGTTAAATAGATTTTGTTGCTGTTTGTGGGTGTTGTTTTATTCTTCTGTTTTGCACTTATTTATTTGACATACTTCATATTATTTGCTCTTAACTTTTAAGCTCTTAACTTGCAAATCTTTATCTTAGTATTATCAAACAATAGGAGTTCATTGCCTACAGCCAGGAAATCTCAGGAAGAAGCATCTGCTATTGCCTCCTGCTGTTTGCCAAACCTATGAGCAATATTTCTTCATTGTTCAGGAAGATTTGTTATTTATTACTGTTGCACTACTAAAAATGTTAACAAATATTATAAAAATTAGAAATTGTTTTCCAAGTTTATAACAACTATCTTCAACTATCCATTAATATAATTAAAATATTGGTTTAGAAAATAAACATTAAAAGATGTTAACATAGTATGGATTTTTCTTAGAAAGCTGTCTTTAATAAAGTGATGAGTTAGTAAATGACTTGTTTTTTGTCTTTTTCCTTTTTATCGGTACCAGGGATCAAACTCACGACTGCCTGCTTGCAAGGCAGGTGTTTATGCCACTGAGCTAAATCCCCAGCCCCCAGTAAATGACTTTTAAAGTAAGATTATTTCACTTGTTTATAACATATCTTTATTTTTATTAAGGATAACTTAACTTTTTATAAAAATTGGAAGTAAATATCTAGAATCATTCTAAGGAATTAAAATTTATGATTAGGCTAGATAATAAAGAGCTACTATTTTTCCATCATAAATTTTGAAAGCCTAGAATCATCTCATTATTCTTATTATCATTTATGTGATATATTAGTTCCAAATTATGTGTATTCATTTTTCAATGGAAATATACATATTTCAAATGTTGATGGGTTACTAAAGAGTTCAGCAGTTAACCAAATGATATGTACTAGAATTTTAAAAACATCTAATATTAGTGTTGAGTTTATCAACATACAATTCATTTGATATCAGTAATATTAGTATTTGAAACAAAAGCAAAAATGTAAGGAGAAACAATTAAGAATATTTTTAATCGCTATTTAAATTGTTACATTAATTTACCTCTAACCCGCTTCATTCCATCTTTTTGTCTCTAAATAGCCATGATGTGTGTTTGTGTGTGTGCTTTATTTGATTATCAGCTGACTAGAAGCCACTTATGTAAGGTCTGCCATCTCTTATTCTCAGTGTCACACAAGTTTGTATTCCTTCAGTGTAACACCTGTGTGGCTTTTCATTTTCAGTGTTGCCTTATTAATCACTATTTTTTTCAAATATATCATAAAGTTCCTGAAGTTCTTATTTGTTAACAGATTTTTTTTTTTTTTGGCTTTTGCTGAGATTTTAGTAAACCAAAGATATAGATTTAATCTTTATATTTTTGATGATTGAGAGTTTTGCTTTGGGATGGGAATTAGAAGGGTAATTCTACATTTTATTCTCCCAGAATCCATGGGGTAACAAAATAAGACAAGGAAACCAAGATACAATTTTAATAGATGAAATAAAAATGGAGGAACAGGGAACTTCGCTGGACCAGTAGTATATGTTCTTGTTCACAAGTGATTATTATTCTGAACATCTATCTGCCAGTCACATACAGTAAATAAAAGATGTTATTCTTGCACCACGTGCTCAGCAGCACAGAACCTGACTGGCAAACAGTTGGTGGTGAGTTCAACTCCTGGTACAATAATAAAATAAAATAAAATAAAATACTACTCTTCAATTCACAACAAAGTATTATTGTACTAAGGTATATGAGGTTCTCTGAAGTTAGGAAACATAATGTTTCAGATTGGATAATATTGTAAATGCAAATATCAAGTTCAGTTATCCAAGTATTGTAATCTTCTTTCTAGTTTTCCTCACAATCCAAAAAGTTATATTTGTGATCCTAATGAGACTTTATTAGAATCCTAGCAAGATAATTTCAATCTACCGCCACCAATGCAACCCACAGCAAGAGTAAAAACACCAAGATATATTCCAAGTTAAGGGCAGCCAAGGGGTCCTAAATCCAATCCCGGTTAGGACATGCAGACAAAGCCGTGGATCCTAGGCCTCTCCCAGCATTTATTATTCTATGAAGAAAGGGGTGGTCACTCAGGGATTAATAACAGTGAAGATGTCAAGGATTACTGAGTAACTTGAGCTGGCTGGCCAGGGGCAAAAATGGCATCTCTGTAATTTGCAGAGACAAAGATATGCAGAAGGATCAATTTACATAACCCAATTAAGGTAGCAGTGGAATTGTTTTGGGGGGCTATCACTTGGGTTTCTGATATGCAAACTCTTGTGCCTCAGGGAGTCATAGCCTCTTATCTTGAGGCTCTATCCAGTTGACATTCCTTGAGCTGTTTTCTCTAACATCTCTAGTGCTCCATCCTGTATTGTGGAGAGCACCATGTGAGGAAACAGGACTATCTGATGGCTATAGACTCTGAACATTAGTACCTCTGCTAGCCTTATTTGCTCAGAGCAGTTGAAGAGAGAAATACCCTAGCCAGCCTTTCACATATCAGTACAAGGAAATGAGTCTCCAATTAA